AGCGTACTTTAATTACCGTATCGATTCCCCCATTCGTTGTGGACTGTAACACCCCCAGTTCGGTTAGGTTAAGCCTCAGGGTTTCCCTTTGAAAGCCTTACCTTGCACTTTCCCGCTTTTGTGGAACCTTTTTTTTTTCTTTCATTCAGAGTTTCATAAATAATTTCAAATAGTTCAAGGGAGCGAATTAATGAGGTTGTGGCTTCATCTGCGAGTCCTTATCAATTAATTTCACTCGCACATCTAGACTTAAGCACATGCATAAACACAAACGCTTAAGTGTGTGTGTGTGTGTATGTGCGTGTGCGTCCGTGTGTGTATATGTGCATATATATATCCACACATAAACCATACATGCACATAGTTTCTGCCAGATCGGTTCCCGCTTTGCAAATGCATGATATTCTCCCAAGGACTAGACTGCCATTCATTTCTTTATCACGAACATACATGAAATCTGCACACTATGAAAAGCAACGTCCTCATATTTCATTGATCATGAGGTTCTGCCAGGTACGCGGCCGTGCAGATTTGTACGCGAAAACACCATACTTTTGGGCCATACTTCATGTAGGCGAGAGCGGCTGGCCAGTTTTGTACAATGCGTGTTCGTGATGTACAGAGATCAGCTGTATTGTCTACGTTCGATAAGTTGTTAATATATGTTCTGTAATGTCTATGGTATTTCTTTTTTCTTTTTGTTTTACCTTGGCGATGTTATTTTTCATTGCTAATTTATGCACGTATTTGTTTATTATTGATTTTTTTTCATCCGTAAATTAGTTGTCTGGTTTGGGATATTGGATTGGACTGAGTTGCCTATTATGTTTTTTTTTTATTGTTCGCTGTTCAAGCACTTGTGAATTATTGCTGATAGGCTGTGATCGTGTTATTGGTTCAATTCATTATTCATGGGGGGGGGGGGACTTCTAGACGCGCATTGGCTAACATCCGTTAACCAATGCGCGTCAATGTACAGTGTGTGTGTGTGTGTGTGTGCGTGTGTGTGTGTGTGTGTGTGTGTGTGTGTGTTTGATGTGTGTGTGTGTGTGTGTGAGTATTGATTTAGAAGTGGTAAACGGAAACGTGGAAATATAAACGTATTTTAGCCCACTTTTATAGATTTCTGTATTGTATGCTCCCGTCCCGTTCGTTTTAGGAATGCAGACACTGGACAGTTGCGGCTTATTAATCATTCAGTAAAACGCCAACAATGAAACGACTATAAAAGGCGACAGAGAAAAACATAAAATAAAGCAACACTTTTAGGTAGAGACAGACAAACAGACAAAAAGCAAAGAAGGGGAGATTGACAAACACGAAAATGCCACCAATCAATCATGCATAAGAATGGGTACACATTCCCCCCCCCCCCCCCCGCCATCCTTCTCTTCCTCCCCCCCTCTCCCCTCTCCCCTTCCCTCCAAGGTGAGGTTGTGGAGAGATGTCAGATTGTCTTGTTGATTGCCCAAGGAACTTGTGAAATGGTTTTGCTGTTGATTAGTCCTTAATTGCGTCGCGTTCGTGTGACCCATCGGTCTGGTGATGGAAGTCGTGGTTGTTATTCGGATGGAGGTCGCTGTTGCAATATTAATTTAATCAGTGTTATTATTACTTTGTTTCTACTGCTGGTGCTCTTACTGCCACTGGCAATGCTAATGCTATTACAAGTTTTGTTAATGCTGCTACTACTAGTACTGATACTACTACTGCAGTTATTGCAGATAGTACTACCATTGTTACTACTACAATAATTAGTGCTAATACTACAACTATTGTAAATACTACTACTACTACTATTAATCTACTACTGTCACTTCTGTTATTACTAGTACCACTACTACTACTACTACTACTACTATTAGTATCACTACTTCTGTTACTACTACCACAGATGAAAGGAAAATATTCATGTTATTACTAACATCATATGTCCTTTAATATTCACTTATACTTAGGCCCAGACGTAAATATTTGCACCTGCTAATCGTACTGAAAAATAACAAAATAAAAACACGTATTGCGTTAATCATATGCCTTCACAACGCCAGTCACCGAGTCAACCTGACCGGCGATCGCTTGACCACACGCACGCCCCTACGCCCACACCCACACCCCGCCCTCGCATACATCCTGCCTGCCCCGCCCACACTCACACCCACGCACATCCTGCCCCTACCACCCACCCCCTTCCCCTTCACTACCCCCCCCCCATCCATCCTTTCTATTCCATATATGTGAGGGTGAGTAAATAGTAACAGTAAATGATAAAGGTGATAGTAAAACAGTTATAATGAAAATAGTGATAAGAATACATTAATTAATAAAGATAGTTTACGATAGTAACTAGACATCTATGGTGATTATGGTGGTAGACAATAATAACAGCAAAAATAACAATGAAAACAATAGTCTTTAAAATAGCGTCTCTTCCTTCTCCATATCCATTAAATACCAAAACAACAACAAAGTACATAACAATTAATTAAAAAAAAACTCTTCTCCGCCTCCCCTGTGGTCGCCTTCCACTCCCTCATCTCCCGAGCACCATCTCCTTGCAGCATCTTTG